CTTGTTATCTTCATCTTGAGTGTCTCCCTCTTTAGATGGAGTAGAGAAATCTAGAGCTCGCTTAGAAGGTCCTCTGAATCTTCTTCCCAGGTTCAAGACACCAGCCTGCTTTTTAGTCTTTTTCTTCTTGTCTTTCAAGATGAGAGCCTTTAGATCCTCTTGCCCTTTAGCTAGAGCCAAGAACATCTGCTGGAATTGAGCATTCTGGGCTTGAAGATCCTTGACATTTTGTTCGAGTGCCATTTCTTCTTGCTGAAATAAACAGTGAAGGGATAAGAAACCTGTTTTAGAACACATGCTTATGTAATGATATGCATGATATGCTTATGCAATGTTTTCAAGGATCTCGCGAGGTAAACACAAGAAGATGTCAGTGGTTGAATTTTGACTGCAACTTTGACAGAAGAACTTCGTATCATTGAATTTCCTTCTACAAGAATCAAGCTCACCATGTCGAATGGGTCATAGCCTCTGACTCAAGTTATTGTGTTTTAGTCTTTTAACAACATTGGATAGAGGAAAATACACCCCCTTACCCCTTGCTAGACGTCTGGTTCATCATAACCCGCATCACAAGCCCTTTGAGATCCTTGAAATGGTTAACAAAATGCTATGGAATGATGTCATGATATGTATGCTATGCCCCAAGCAAAAGCATAAGGTGACATGACAAGTAAATCTTGCAAGAAATCCAGGTTATTGGATAATGGATACAAATAGGTCCTGCAAGGAAGTCACGTCGTTAGGTAATGAACATGAACAAGCCCTGGAAGGAGTTCAAGTTGTTAGATAATGAAAGCAAACAAGTCACACAAGTAGCCTTAGGTTCAGGCTTGCATGGATTTTGTAGGTAAGTACCCTCTTGAAGTTTTAGTTAGTTCAACCTGTCCTAGAAATAGTAATTGGGTTCTAAGGAATCTCAATATCACTGATCTTTCTTCATCGGGCATTGTTTCAGCGCAAGCCTCTTTATTAGTGACCGAAATATCCCGAAAGTACAATCTCAATAAGCATAATATCGAGTATTAACCAACTTCGGACTGCACCAAAGCCATCCATCTCACTACTTCCTAATGGCCAAGTTTGTTCAATTAAAGGTTCTAAGGTCAGTTGGTGCTTCGTGACACCATACAGTGGCCCTGTATTCTCCTTGACTAAACTCAAGGGCTACTGATACCAACAAATGTGTCACATGAATGTAGATATTGTTTCAACCATGTCGATATACCCCGCACAGTCCCCACAGTCTATTGCTACTTACCTAAAAGGTGCCCCAGATCTGGGTGTAGGATCTTTTAGTAACAACCCAAACAAGCCCTCAAATATAAAGCAAAAAAAGCACACAATGTAAAGCAAATAAATAATTAACTAAACTATAAGGTAACCCCACTTTTTATTATCCCCAACAGAGTCACCAGTTCTATGATACGGTATCAGAACTGACGATTATACTGGTTTTGTGTTTGTATTCGCAAATGTTGTGGTAAGCAAGAGTCGCCTCTGACTTTTCTTTTATCCAACAAAGGAAAGGGTGAAAAGAATAGAAAAAGTCCTTTCAAGATTTGTTTCTAAGTAAGGGGGTAGATTATGGAAAGGGAAGGTGTTAGCACCCTTTTCATCTGTAGTTTTCTACGGGCTCTTAGATGCTTAGCTCATTTTGAAATACTTTGTGTTTTGTGTGTTTTTGAAATCCAATATGTAAGGCAGCTCGCTTTATGATAACTCTTGTATCAGTCCTCAAGAGTGTTGATAAAGAATTTTGAAATTCTTTTTGAAATAAGTTTGTGCATGTGTAAAAGTTTGTTTTTGAGCAAGCATCTAATAAACTATTTACTTTACTCGAAAGGGTCGTTCTTTTCCTCTTTTCCTCTAGATAGTGCTATCCTACTATTAATGAGTAGGTAGCCCTAGTCGTTGGATGTTTGAGGGACATTCAAAGGGACGTTTATAGAGTCACAAAGGCAACTGGGCAAGAAACTTTAGTAACTACCCTAGAGTCTTAAGATCATTTTTACCGAGGCAACATTGAGATGGTCATTTTTTATCTTTAAACCGGAGGGTAGCCACTAAAATCTCTCACGTTTCGAGAGCTGTGACTGTTTTTTCCGAAGGCAACCAAAGTGGGGGTACCCTAGAGGTGTGCATGTGAAAGTGTGTTGTATTCAGTTATTTATCTTGGCCTTTAGGCTTGCTAGCGTTTTGATTATTAAGCTCTTGTCATGCAATCCTATTACCATACATATAAACAGTTAATATATGTACAAGAAATATAAAGTGCAGAAATTAAATCCTACGCTATTACATGGCTTCGGGGAGGGAGATTAATTACATATCCAAAATTGGGGAAAAGTAGTAAAGTAGAAAGTCCTAGTTATTCTATTACAAACCGGGAAGCAGATACAATAATAATAATGCAAAAGTAACTAAATGCGCGCGAATTGAAGATAACGTCTAAAACTAAAAGGAAAAAAAAAATATTTTTTTGTTTAATAAAAGAGAATAAAAATCTAAGTCTAGACTTAATTTTAATTTTAAGAAAGTGTTAAAGTCATTAATTAATTAATTAATTAATTTGAGAAAATGCTAACCTAATATTTTTTATGATATTTTTGATTTAATGTTGGTTAAAAAAAAGAGTAAAGCCATTAAAATAAATAAAAAAAACAAAATAAAAGTACAAATGGGCCAGGGCAGCAAATAGAAACAGGGGGTGTAAGTTTAAAATAGCAGGCCCAGATCAAGGAAGAGGCCCAGGTTGCCTTTTGATCCAATGAGGGAGGCTTCCTTTCGATCCAAGGATGGAGGTTGCCTTTCGATCCAAGGAAGGAGGTTGTCCTTTGATTCAAGGAGGGAGGTTGCCTTTCGATCCAAGGAAGGAGGTTGTCCTTCGATCCAAGGAGGAGGCTGCCTTTCGATCCAACGAGATAGGTTGTTGATAGTGTATGATGGATTTCCTGTGGATGGTACTGGATCTGAACTTCTTGTCATCCATTGGCTGGAGCTTGAAGGCGCATGGGAAGTGTTTGAAACGCAGCACACTGGATCTGCAAGATAATTGTTAGAAAAAAACATAATATACGACCTGGGTATCGGACCCAAGCCTTTCCGCTGCACACGTTCCCCTTTACCATCTAAGTTGTTTGTTCATTCGTTGATCCAAACACAAAATAATGATTATATGATAAACTGTAATAAAATATTGAATGCAAATCCGCCACCTTCAGTCAAGCATAAATATGCATGAACATGGTGATTCATGGTTCAGGTAGTATGAGGGTTCATCTAATGGCTCGAACCTACATATTTGGATCTCAGAAACACAATAATATGGATGATATGCACTGAAACACATAAAAATACAAATACGAATTCACATGATTATTGGAACCGATAATGCATATGCGTGCATTTTTAACAGTTTGCTGTCAATAACGATCCATTCTTACCCTATGAACCTTACAGAGATGATTGCAACGCTTGGTTTGGATGGAAATGGGTTAAATCAAACTGTAGGCGCCTGCACTAAGTTCAGAAAATTTGAAACAACTTCAAGGTTTTGTGGAGTTTTTAGTGAGGAAATTTGTACGTGTAGGCAATTCGTTGTGTATAGGCAATCTGTGTCTGTTCTCTTTTGCTTGCACTTTAGCTCTGTATTTATAAGAGTGCAGTGTTGAATGAAAATGACAAGAATCATCCATTAACCATGGCTTTGAAGGCTGAATCGATAGTCTTAAAAGATTGCCATTGTTGATGATTTTCTACCATTTTGGGTTTTTGAGTGAACCTAGACAGGTTTCACTCCCACATCTTGACTTTTCGAATGCTCCCAAGTTTTGTTCTTCGATGGTTCTGAGTTCCAATTCGAATGGTCCAAGTCCCCATCATCGTGGCTTCTTCGATTAAGCCATTATCTGCCTTAGTTGCTTGATCTGAAAACTATCCAATCAGCCCAAATGAAACTTGATCTTATTTCTTTCAATCTCCTAACCAATCGAAGTATCACCTCTTCATCCTAGTCTGTCGAAGCTTCATTTTGATCTTCTCCTTAGAATGTAGTTGTGCAGGTGGATTTTTGATTCCAACTCCCGCCCTTTGCTTATATCTACAAAAATATCCTTCTTGCTGATCACTAGTTCACCTTTGATTGGTAAATATAGCTTATATGCGCCAATCAAAGGATGACTTATGAGAACCAGGCCTTTACTTTGATTTCCAAACTCCTTCCTTACCTGTTCAGGCACATGCCTGAAACACATTGATCCCCAAAACTCTAAGACGACTCATACTTGGATGATTCATCTCTAACTGTCCTTCGATCATGCCATGCTTGAATATGGCATGTCCTTCGAACCTATATATTTCCACGTGATTCTTTGGATAAGATAAGAGCTTTTTGAATTCCAAATATTCATATTTTTGAAGCGCCCATTCAGGCAACATATCAATCGAAAGGTGTCTTCCTTGTAACACTTCAAATGGCTTACATCTCCATGTTTGAAAATGAACCTTTCGATGGCGCTCATTACCAGCTCTCCCAATCGAAGGCTTCATAAAATCCTACTCACGCTTTCTTTCGAACTAGCCCTCCTTCGATCCTAGTGTTTCGTTGAGCATTAAATTAGCCTGCATATTACTGTCGAAGCTGCTTCGACCCAAAATCCCTTAGGCATATTTTCAGCCTTCGAACTACACTTTCTCATGTACACTTCTTTTCTTTCTTTCATCTGTAACATTATGCTGAGGCATATAGGGTGTCATGGAAATCATTTGAAGTTCTGGAACTCACACATCTTGGTGAAAAGTGAAATTAGTTGAAAGGACATTACTTAGGAGGAGAATTTATCTAATCAATTCTTGGTCGACCTTGAGCAATTGGGGACCTTAATGAGTATGCCTTGAATAAAAATGGGAAGGAAAATTTTTGGATACAACATAACCAACAAGGCGGACAATTTCCACAGAAAACTCTGCTCTTACAACAACACACTCCCATATGAAAATCACTGCAAACCTCTCCTTAATCTCCATACCTCACCCTTAACCTCTTCATACTCACCCTTAACCTCTTCATACTCACCATGCAACTTCACTACAACCACACCATACTCAAACCTCACTTCTGATTCATATCGTAACCTCACCTTCAACTGAAACTAAGTTACTCTCTCCAGCTTACACATTCCACAACAACAAACCAAAACACTCATAGCAACAACAACACACACAGAGGCATACACAAGATTAGATGTAGAAGAAGATAAAGATTGGAAAAAGGCAAGCGGAACTTACTTCGAAGCACTAACCGGAGTTGTTTGGGATCGGTAATCTTTTCATCACAGCTACACTTCAATTCTTATAGATCTCTGTATGTTTTTGTTCCCCTTTTTAACAATTGTTGCTTGTAATATGTAAGTCCTACAAAAATAGTGAAGAGAAATCGCTGGTTTACAGGGTTTTGTGGGGGATGATGGGTTTCACTTTTGATTATTGATGTTGTTGTTTGATTAAGAATCGAGAGAGAAACCATGTTCTCTTCCATGGCAGAATTGAACAACAAAGGAAGTGGCATTGGAAATTTTTGAGAGAAAGATAGGTAGAACGAGAGAGTCTACGGACAAAGAAGAGAATGGAACAACTGTTAGGTTTTTTAGGTCCCTCTCACTTGCAATTTTTTGGTTTGGGTTACAATGGCTGACCCGGTTTCTTTCAAACCCAACTCTTAATTTTTTTACTCACTATATTTTTGTTGAGATGATAAAAACTCTGGGCTTGCAACCCATAAAGCCCAACGTGACTGCTTAAATCTCACCCCCTGTTTGCTTATAATTCAGTCCAATTACTTTGTTTCTTCCATATTTATTTCTTTTGTTTTATCTTACTTTTGTTAGTTGTTAGTTATTAATTAATTTTGTTAAATGATTTTATTTAATCTAATTAATGTTGATCATTAGTTTTATTAAATATTTTCATTTAACTTAATTAATTTCCGTGTAATCATTTAATTGTTTAGTTGCTTTTCGATTATTAAATTTCACTTATCCACTTGTTTTACTTGTTCATTTATGACCTTGGCATACAAGTTTGTTTTGAGTACAAATTCTTATGGAATTAAAAGGATAAACAAGATTCGAGATCCATCCATGGTTTTCAAACAATAGCTCATTCACTTTTCAAGTTTATCATGAATTCAAGAGCAAGTTTCATTCAAGTTATTCAAGCATCATTCAAGATTTGAGTCTTATTCACGTTTAATTTCTTGAAATTCAAGAAATAGTGGTTCAAGTTTCATTCATCATTCTTCCTTCAATATAAATTCAACATGAATTCACAATTCAAATAAAATTCAAAGTTACAAGATCAAAATTCGTTCAAGAGACGATGTCCATTCAATCAAAATATATCATTCATGACCATTTATCAAACTTGTCTTAATATAAACTAAAATCCATAACATTGTTACTTTGCTCTATGGCTACAAAACTTTGCCCAAATACAAGCATTACAAAAGACATTAAGCCACTATCATGCTTTTAATCATGTTTCTTACAAAGTTACTAAACCTAAAAACCTAATTTTATACTCCAATACAAACTCTTGCTGTCCAAAAAAGCATTGTTGTCCAAACTCTAGATAAACTGTCAAAACAGCCTGCTGTCCCTTGCTTTTCCTTCTCCAACCTTGCACAAACAAACCTGCATCTGCTGCCCAAATCCCTGCATACAATAGTCCAAAACTTTTCAAATTTGAACCAAAATGGCAATGCAAAAAACGGCATAAAACCTGCACACAAAAAAAAGCCCTGCTGTCCACTGTATGAACCACCAATACAGTCCAAAAAACATGTCAAAACAGTCCACAAAATGTTAAAAGATGCTGCAAACAAAGGCCAAGAATTTCACAAAAATGTATCACACATAACCTGCATCTAAAAAGGTACCAAAACAAAACAACAGAAATGTTCAAACTCACCAAATTTTCCCTCCCAAAACCTTATTCACTATAAAACAAGCAGAGAAAACCATAAAATCCTGACCCCAAACTCTACTCAATTCGACATAAAATCAACAGAATACACCAACAATAATTCCACCCACTCACTCTTAAATCCACTCTCAAAAATATTTCTCATTCTTATCCTCTCCACCTCCTATGATCTTATTCCATTCACTCTCCAATTTCTCCATATTACCCTCAATCTCAAAGTTCTATATAAGACACAAACAATTAACCAACAAGACGAACAATTTCCATAGAAAACTATGCTCTTACAACAACTCACTCCCATCTGAAAATCACTACAAACCTCTCCTTAATCTCCATACCTCACCCTTAACCTCTTCATGCTCACCCTTAACCTCTTCATACTCACCCTGCAACTTCACTACAGCCACACCATACTCAAACCTCACAAACCTCACTTTTGATTCATATCATAACCTCACCTTCAACCGAAACTAAGTCACTCTCTGCAGCTTAAGAATTCCACAACAACAAACCAAAACACTCATAGCAACAACAACACACATAGAGGCATACATAAGAGTAGATTTAGAAGAAGATAAAGATTGGAACAAGGCACGCGACACTTACCTCGAAGTCGTCACGGGAGATGTTCGGGATTAGTAATATTTTCAGCATAGCCACACTTTGATTCTTATAGATCTGTGTATGTTTTCATTCCCCTTTTTGACCATTGTTGCTTGTAATATGTAAGTCCGACAAAAATAGTGAAGAGAAATCGCGAATTTATATTTTTTTGTGGGGGATGATGGGTTTTGCTTCTGATTATTCATGTTGTTGTTTAGTTAAGAATCGAGAGAGAACCCATGTTCTCTTCCATGGAAGAATCGAACAACAAAGGAAATGGCGTTGAAATTTTTTGAGAGAAAGATAGGTAGAACGAGAGAGTGTGCGGACAAAGAAGAGAATGGAACAACTGTTAGGTTTTTTAGGTCCCTATCACTTGCAATTTTTTGGTTTGGGTTACAATGGCTGACCCGGTTTCTTTCAAACCCAACTCTTAATTTTTTTTACTCACTATATTTTTGTTGAGATAATAAAAACTCTGGGCTTGCAACCCATAAAGCCCAATGTGTCTGCTTAAATCTCATCCCCCTGTTTGCTTATAATTTAGTCTAATTACTTTGTTTCTTCCATATTTATTTCTTTTGTTTTATCTTACTATTGTTAGTTGTTAGTTACTAATTAAATTTGTTAAATAATTTTATTTAATCTAATTAATGTTGATCATTAGTTTTATTAAATATTTTTCATTTAACTTAATTAATTTTCGTGTAATCATTTAATTGTTTAGTTGCTTTTCGATTATTAGATTTCACTTATCCACTTATTTTACTTGTTCATTTGTGACCTTGGCTTTAATTTTAATACATGACCACTTGACTTGGATTTTTCTTATCTGAGACTTTGGGTTGTTTCTCTGTGATCTCTGGCTTCATCTGTTTTGTTTTGCTTTTCATCTGATGCAATAATTGTTAGTTGTTTAATTTCTTTTGGATTATTTGATCTCAATAATTTCTTTTAAATTGTTTACTATTTTTCCCCATTCATAAATTTGTATCCCTATTCCTGAAGCGTTGTAATAGCGTAGGACATTTAATTTCCATAATTTACTGCTTTCCTTATTACTGTTAGTTTAATAGCATTGTATGGCAAGATCTAAAACAAAGCGCTAGATAACCATAAATCTAAGATAAATTACCTGAAATCAAAACACTATTCACATGCGCACCTCTAGGGTGATTCCACTTGTTGCCTCAAAAAAACAGTCATGTCCCTCGAACGTGGGATGCTTTAGCAAAGACCCTCGGTTCAAAAATATCATAGTCTCTCGATGACTGTTCGATGATGCCTTTGGTAAACGATCTTAGTCCCTTACGAAAATCGCTAAAGCGTCCTACAAGTTGCCTTCTATGACAGTACGATGACCCGCACATGTCCCTCACATCCAACGATAGGGCTTCCTACTAACCAATAGTAAGATATCACTATCTAAAGGAGGAGGAAAAGAACAAAGACTTTTTTAGTAGGTAGATCGCTCGTAATCTCTTGCTCACAAACTAAAACAATTTTCACACCTTACACTTTCAAAAACAACTACCTTAAAAAATGCTTTATAAACACTCATGAGGACTGGTACAAGGGTCATTATAAATAAAAATTTCCTTACATTGACATCTTCAAAACACTTTTCACAAAACGACATTGTTTCAACAAATATTTTCAAAATAAAATTTTGTATACATTCTCAACGATACGAGAATCATTACAAAATTTCTATATTTAGGCATTTTAAAAATATTTTCAAACATACACAAATACAAAGAATTTCAAAAGTGAGGTTACATTAAGAGTTAGATCACTTTTATTTCTTTACTTGTTTACCTTGTATTCTTTATATTTTGGGATATGCTTGGGTTTAATTCTTGTATAGATCTTATACCCGAATCTGGGGGCATTTTAGGTAAGTAGAAATAGATCGTGAAAACTGTACGACATATACCGACATGGTTGAAGCGATGACTATGTTAGTGCGACACATTGGTTGGTGCCGGTGTCCCTTGAGTCAGTCAAGGAGAATGCTGGGCTGCTGCGTGTTGTCATAAAGCACTAACTGACCGTAGAACCTTAGTTGACACAACTTAGCCATTAGAAAGTAATGAGATAGCCGGCTTTGGTGCAGATTGAAGTTGGATGATACTCGATACTACACTCATTGAGATCAGACTCTCGGGATATTTCGGTCGCAAATCAGATGCTTGTGCTGAAACAATGCCTGAGAGAAAGATCAGTGATATTGAGGCTCCTAGAACCTGGTTACTTCTTTTAGGATAGGTTGAGCCAACTAAAACTTCAAGAGGGTACTTACCTACAAACTCCATGCAAGATTAAACCTAAAGCCTTTTGTGCTTTGTTTGTATTTGATTAATTGTTCGAACATGACATCATAACATCGTGACATCATACCATATCATTTTCACTAACCATTTCAAGGACCAATGGATTTATCTTTGTTCTGTTTTGCAGACTATGGCCTCCGCTCGCAGAAACACTATCCGAATCAACTTTATAAGGGTGCCTCCTCAACTTAAAGAGTTAGTCTCAAGGGTTCCCAAAAAGTCTTCATTCATCAAATGGCATGGTCGGCTACTCAGATTGGTCACCCCAGGTTTTAACGAAGACATGATGAGTGTTCTATTCCAGTTCTTTGACCCAGTACATCACTGCTTCACATTTCCAGATTATCAGTTGGTACCCACAATGGAGGAGTTCTCTCAATTACTGGGGGTACCCGTTCTTGATCAGACACCCTTCACCGATTTAGAGGAAGCTTCGAAGCCAGAAGATATTGCAGCAACCTTACATCTGAAGCGGTCCAACATTGTATATAATTGGGAAACAAGAAGTGGAATCAAAGGTTTTATGGCTAAATTTTTGATGGATAAAGCTAAACTGTTTCTGGATGCTATGAGTTTCCAGGCTTTCGAAGAAATATAGGCTTTAATAATCTATGGGTTGGTGCTATTCCCTAATCAAGACCAATTCATAGATGTGAATTCCGTCAACATATTTCTCACTCGTAACCTTGTGCCTACTTTTCTTGGAGATATTTTGCATTCTCTTCACACTCGTACTTTGAGGAAACGAGGGACTCTTATGTGTTGCATACCTCTGCTATCCAAGTGGTTTATTTCGAACCTTCCCCGATCAGTAATGAAGAGTGAACAAGGTTTAAGGTGGCCTCAAAGAATAATGCCACTTTCTCATACATACATCTACTAGTGTTCTCGATCTCATAAGGATATCACTATCATTGATTGTTGTGGAGAATTCCCTAATGTTCCACTCCTTGGCATTAGAAGAGGTATTACTTACAAACCTGCTCTGGGTCTACGCCAATTTGGTTATGCTCGAAGAGATGGTACTCATGACACACTTATCTAGGGTATTGTGTTTGACTACGAAAATGATCCTCAAGGTTATCATCAAAGGTTTATACATGCTTGGGGAATGGTAAGCAAGATTGATAGTAAGGCATTAGGACAAAAGAACTCCATCCCTCTGGAGCCCTATCTCAAATGGGTTGGAGCTCGCGATCAAAACCTCGTGATGCCATATCCAGTTGTCCTACCCGTGATCATGGAACTGGTTATCAAAGGAGGCGTTTCTCGCACCATCCTCCATCCAGACATGCCCACTGACCTTGAAGAATTTCAGAAGTCTTGGATTCAACTCAAGGAAGAACGAGACACCTTTGAGACCCAATTCTATGCAAGTGAGAAGAAAGTGTTGGAGCTCACAAAGCAACTTCATGAAGAGCGGAGTCTTAATGCATACATTAACACGAAGAGGAAGCGTCCGTGGGAGACTTGAGTCTTAGGTTTTAGGAGTTTATATTGTTGTCTCTTTGAGACCCTTTTGTTTTCATTGTAAACCTAAAAGGCAATTATAATTTGGGCTTACTAATAAAAATCTTTGTTTTTGTTTCCTTTTGTTTAACGAATTTACATCTCACAAGGTCCTTAAAAACATTGCATCCACATATCATACATAGAATTACATGACAGGTTTTCCCATACAGTTTTTCTCATCTGATTACTATTTATTTCAGTAAAGATGGCTCTAGAAAAGACTGTCCAAGATCTTCAGATCCAAAATGCTCAGTTCTAAGAAATGTTCCTGAGCCTATCCAGGGGGTAAGAGGAATTGAAAGAACTCTTCACTAAGAGCATGACCAAGAAGAGTCCTGAAGACAACATGGATGACCAGTTGGAACAATTGCAAGCTGAGATGGCAACAATGGGAATCCAGATGATGGGTCAGATGGATCTTATCCAAAATTTAGCTCGGGGACAAGAATAGTTGAGGATTCTCATCATCAAGCTTCATCAAGACAGATACGACCGTATGGGATAAACTGCTAGAATTTGGGGTCTAATCAATGATCAACCTCTCTCAGAAATAGGAAATTAGGTGACATGTTCATGAGGGGACATGTTGAAAATAAAATCATAAGCGGTGAAATTCAAGGGACTGCATCTTCAAGTACTCAAAAGAGATCATACAACAGAAAGAAGGAGTCCAGTACTGTGTACGTCCAGAAGGGTCATAATAAGAGGGATCTCAACCAATCTGTGGAGGCAATGCAAATCTCTAATCCTGCACCAGTGCAACAACAACAACAAGGTAATCAGCATAAGTAGGACACGCCCAAAAGAAAATTTACTAAAATTAACATGTCTTTGGCTCAAGCATTGCAACACATGTTAAAGGCGGAGTTGATTACATTGAAGGACCCTCCTCAGAACCTCAATACTTCCTCTCCCCGTCACAATCCTAATGAAAGGTGTGAATACCATTCTAACGGCCTTGGACACAACACTAACAGTTGTTAGGCTTTGAAACAAAATATTCAAGACTTTATTGATGAAGGAGTGTTGGAATTTACACAAGATGGTCAACTTGAGTTTTTCTGTCATCCCCTAAAGGCACACCATCTGAAGTAACAAATTCAGAAGGAAAAGATTTTTGTTCATTCGAATTTTCATTTGTAATTTCTTTAGTTGATTCAAACACTTATCTTTATGTCAGACGTTGGTTGTGCCCATTAATGCATT